AAAAAAAAGGAACTGCTATCTAAAAATAGATGAACAATTTTCAAAACCCAGTAAGAAAACAAGCCATTTTTTTAAATGGACAAAAGATTTGAACAGACATATCATCAGGGAAGATACATAGATGACAAATAAGCACATGAAAAGATGCTCAACATCATTATTTATTAGTGAAGAGCAAATTAACACCACTATGAGATACCACCATCAACCTATTAATAGCTTTTTAAAAATTGATGATACCAACTGCTGACCAGGATGAAGAGTTGCCGGAACTCTCATACATTGCTGGTGGGAATACAAAATGGTGCAGCCATTGTGGAAAACAATTTGGCAATTTCTTATAAAGTTAAACATAAACTTACTATACAATCCAGAAATTGGAGGCAAGGTTGGAGGTTGGAGGGAGGCAGAGGTTGCAGTTAGCCGAAATTGTGCCACTGCACTCCAGCCTGAGCAACAGAGTGAGACAAAAAAAAAAAAAAAAAAGAAAAGAAAGGAAGCCTGGGCAACAAAGTGAGGCCCCATCTCTACAAAAAAATTTTAAAATTAGCCAGGCACTCAGAAGACTAGATCATACCAGGAAAATAAAAAAATCAGCTTGGCAACTTGGTGTCTGCCTGTAGTCCCAACTATTTGGGAGCGAGAGAGGAGGATCGCTTGAGCCTAGGAGGTTGAGGCTGCAGTAAGCAACGATTGCACCATTGCATACCAGCCTGGGTGGGAGAGAGAGACCACGTCACCAAAAGAATAAAAGAAAAAGAAAGGAGGTGGGGCGCAGTGGTTCATGCCTGTAATCCCAGCACTTTGGGAGGCTGAGGCAGGCGATCACTTGAGGTCAGGAGTTCAAGACCAGCCTGGCCAACGTGGTTGGTGAAACCCCATCTCTACTAAAAATACAAAAATTAGCCAGGTGTGGTGATGCGCACCTGTAATCCCAGCTACTCGAGAGGCTGAGGCAGGAGAATCACTTGCGGCAGGAGGTAGAGACCAGCCTGGCCAACATGGTGAAACCCACGAGGCGGAGGTTACAGGGAGCTAAGATTGCACCACTGCAATCCAGCCTAGGTGACAGAGCGAGACTCTGTCTCAAAAAACAAAAAAAGAGGCGCGAGGCGGCCACTGGGAAGAGGAGAGCGCGGCATCTGGAAACTGCAAAGTCAGAGCCGCGATGTTCCGGATTGAGGGCCTCGCGCCGAAGCTGGACCCGGAGGAGATGAAACGGAAGATGCGCGAGGATGTGATCTCCTCCATACGGAACTTTCTCATCTACGTGGCCCTGCTGCAAGTCACTCCATTTATCTTAAAGAAATTGGACAGCATATGAAGACTGGACATCTCATATGAATGCACGATATGAAGAGCCTGGTTACAGTTTCGACTCCTCTCTGCAAGTGAATAGGCCCAGAAAGGTGTAAGAGACTCTTTGAATGGACATAAAATTCTGCTTAAGAACAAAAAACAAAACAAAACAAAACAAAAGCAAAAAACAAAAAAAGAAAAAGAAAGGAAATTTTGACATATGCTACCACATGGATGACCTTTTTTTTTTTTTTTTTTTAGATGGAGTCTCGCTCTGTTGCCCAGGCTGGAGTGCAGTGGCGCGATCTCAGCTCACTGCAACCCCCGCCTCCTGGGTTCAAGCAATTCTCCTGCCTCAGCCTCCTAAGTAGCTGGGATTACAGGTGCCCACCACCACGCCAAGCTAATTTTTGTATTTTTAGTAGAGATGGGGTTTCACCATGTTGGTCAGGCTGGTCTCGAACCCCTGACCTCGTGATCCACCCACCTCGGCCTCCCAAAGTGCTGGGATTACAGGCGTGAGCCACCGCGCCCGGCCCATGGATGACCTTTGAGGATATTAAGTTAAGTGAAAGAAGCCAGTCACAAAAAGACAAATATTATATGATTCCACTTACATGAGGGAGAGTAGTCAAAGTCAGGGACAGAAAGTAGAAGGGTAGTTGCCAGGAGCTTAGGGGAGGGGAATGGGAAGTTATTGTTTAATGGGTACAGAGTTTCAACGTTTGTTTTTTTTAATTTTTTTTTTTTTTTTTGAGACGGAGTCTTGCTCTTGCACGCTGGAGTGCAGTAGCACGATCTCAGCTCACTGCAACCTCCGTTTCCCAGGTTCAAGCGATTCTCCTGCCTCAGCCTCTCAAGTAGCTGGGACTGCAGGCGCGCGCCACTGCTCCCAGTTAATTTTTGTATTTTTAGTAGAGATGGGGTTTTGCCATGTTAGCCAAACTAGTCTCGAACTCCTGACCTCTGGTGATCTGCCCACCTTAGCCTTCCAAAGTGCTGGGATTACAGGCATGAGCCACCACGTCCAGGCTGTTTTTTTAAATTTTGAGACAGGGTCTCACTCTGTCACCCAGGCTGGAGTGCAGTGGCAAGAACACTGCTCACTGCAGTCTCCACCTCCTGGACTCAAGCTATCCTCCTGCCTCACCCTCCCAAGTAGGTGGGACTACAGGCACACGCCATCATGCCCAGCTAATTTTGTTATTTGTAGAGATGAGGTCTTGCTATGTTGCCCAGGCAGGTCTCAAACTCCTAGGCTCAAGTGATCCTCCCACCTTAGCCTCCCAAAGTGCTGGGATTATAGGTGTAGGTCACTGCGCCCAGCTAGAGTTTCATTTTTATAAGATGAAAAACATTATGGAGATAGATGGTGGTGATGCTTGTATAACATTATGAATGCATTTGATATCACTAAACTGTACAGTTAAAAATAGTTAAACTGGTAACTTATGTGTATTTTACAATAAAAAAAACTTGCAAAAACATGAATGAATATCAGACACATTATGCTAGGTGAAAGAGGCCAGCCACAAACACGACATACGTGTGATTTTACTTATATGATATTCTGGAGAAGTTAAAACAATAGGGGCAGAAAATTGGTCAGTGGTTGCCAGGGACTTGAGTGGGGAAGAGGGAGAAGACTGACTACACCAGGGCACCAAGGAACTTTTCAGGTTAATAGAACTAGTTTATATTTTTATTGTAGCACATTATATACCTAAAAAGAGTTAATTTTACTACATGTAAACTGTATCTCAAAAGCCTAGTTTAACAAAAAAGCAGAGCATTCTACCCACACCAAGAACATCCCATACAAAAGCATCCTTCATACCTTTCCTCGACTTTAATGGAGAGAGAGTTGCAGAGGTTGTGAACATACTGGGCATAACTCTCTGCCAGGGTCATGTCATATGCAGTCAGATGAATGTTTAAAACCCCATATTCATAATCTGTCCCCAAATTAATGACTCTCACTTCCACTTTTCCCTTCTTCTTCTTGGGCTGAAGAGAAAACAAAAAGAGAAAGAAAATAATCAAAGTATTATACAAGAAATTCTAATAATACTATCTTGATATTTTAAAAAGTCAATCTTTCTAATAAATTTGTTCACATTTTGCTCTTGGGTTACCCTACCTACAAACTGAAGTTCTCCTGGGAAGGAATGAGCAGCTTCCCTTGTCAGTCTGGGTTGTGACATCAGCCAATGCAAGGAGAGAGAATACTGCTGTCATTACTTGAATACATGAATTACTTGAACATGAGTACATGTAACTGTCTTGTGCTATTACCTTGTTTTGAGATTCGCCTCCCATTTCTGGCCTTCTATTACTCAATTTGTAAATTGATAGGGTTATGTCAGATTAAAATATTTTTCTTTTTTTTGGAGACAGTCTCACCCTGTCACCCAGGCTGGAGTGGCAGTGGCACGATCTTGGCTCACTGCAACCTCCTCCTCCCCGCTTCAAGTAATTATCATGCCTCAGCCTCCTAAGTAGCTGGGACTACAGGTGCCCACCACCATGCCCAGCTAATTTTTTGTATTTTTCATAGAGATGGGGTTTCACCATGCTGCCCAGGGCAGTCTCGAACTCCTGAGCTCAGGCAATCCACCCGCCTCGACCTCCCAAAGTGCTGGGATTACAGGTGTAAGCACCAAGCCTGGACTAGATTAAAATATTCCTAACCCATATATGAATTAAGGGGTCTATGAGCCCCCCAGTTTTTTTTGTTTTGTTTTGTTTTTTTTGAGATGGAGTTTCGCTCTTGTCGCTCAGGCTGGAGTGCAATGGTGCAGTCTCAGCTCACTGCAATCTCTACCTGCCGGGTTCAAGTGACTCTCCTGCCTCAGCCTCCCAGCCATAGGCAGGAGGGACTGCACCCAGCCATAAGTCCCTCTCTTTATGGGCATTTAGGTTAGATTATTTTCGGTTGAGGTGCTTTCTTCTTTCTGATGTATTTTGTATTAAATATTTTTTCCCAGGCTTCATTTTAACTTTTTTTTTTTTTTCTTGAGATGGACTCTTACCCTGTCGCCCAGGCTGGAGTGCAATGGCGCCATCTCGGTTCACTGCAACTCTACCTCCCGGGTTCAAGCGATTCTCCTGCCTCAGTCTCCTGAGTAGCTGGGATTACAGGTGCCCGCTGCCATACCCAGCTAATTTTTGTAATTTTAGTAGAGACGAGGTTTTACCAATGTTGGCCAGACTGGTCTCAAACTCCTGACCTCAGGTGATTCACCCACCTTGGCCTCCCCAAGTGCTGGGATTACAGGCGTGAGCCACTGCTACTGGCCAAGCCCCAAAATTTATATGCAAAATTTTACATGTATATGTTTCTGAGGAGAGAATCCTGAGTTTTATCAGAATCATGAAAAAAATTAACAGAAAGGAATCTCAGCATTAGTTCTCTTCTATTCCTCCTAGCTCGAAATTCTACAATTGTCTACACAGCATTCCTTTTGAGAACTGAGAGGTAGAAAAATTATTTGATTTCTTCCCCTTTTTTGTCATACAAAATATTGCTTCACTACATATCAACTTGTGTAGGCTGCTGTAAAAAGCTAAAATGAAGGCTGGGCGTGGTGGCTCATGCCTGTAATCCCAGCATTTTGGGAGGCTGAGGTGGATGGATCATGAGGTCAGGAGTTCAAGACCAGCCTGGCCAACATGGTGAAAC